TACGTGCTATTCTTATATGTGTTATGTTCTTGATTATTACCGATCCACACATCTTGTTTTTTCTGCTTCTCGAGGCGCGCAAAGGTCTATTGGGATTGATTCTTATTCAGCAAAAGCGATTCGCAATCTTATTGGCTAATCGATTTCCGTCAGATCACCTGGTAACGGTTGCGCATGAGAAGACAATCCATCTCAAGCAAGGAATCTTAGTTTCAAGTGAATRACACTTGGTCTGAATAAGGCGAACTTTACACCAAAAGTAAAGATGTCTTTTACTGACCTTATTCGTGGGGTGGCAATGTTTTCCCAATTCAGCGGGACGAACCTACAGGGGATTCATTTTCTTTTGTTTTTACTCTTCGAAAAATTCATGAGTMTCCCAAAGGATACGAAAGGAATAACGATGATATCCYGACGAGTTGCAAAACAATAGCTGTTCATTAGCGCAGCGCAGCCGTGACGTCAAAAAACGAAGACRAAGGCGAAATTCGGGCAAACAAACTTACAAGTTTACTTTCAGCAGATAATTTTCACAGCCGATCGCAGTTGATCTTAGTTTACATGGGTTCTTATTGTAACTTTAAGTAAAAATAATAAAATCGGTTCGTATAATCCTCGTAGCGGWTAAACAGAATGCAATGTTTGTCCGAATCTTTAAGCTATTTTTAGAGTCAGTGCGCTGCGCTATTTGATAAACATTATCACGCAACGAATATGGTCTATGGTCTTAGCATCTGACAGTTAACGGTTTACCTGGCGAGCAAGCCTTGCAAGTCTGAAATTGGTGGGATTTATAAGTTCCTCGGTCACAGGGTATGCAATCAAATGAGATTCCATGAAGTACTGAAAAATCCTTATTGCAGACATATCCAAGAGAATGGAAAGATAACACCAGGTCTTCGTTAGTCACTTTAATCTTGAAAACTGTATTAAGCTCCAAAATTTGATATCTAAAACAAAACAGAGCAAGATAAAAAACAACAGCAATGACGACGACGACGAAAATGATGATGATGGTGATGATGAGGAAGTTGATGATGATGATGATGAGGAAGAAGAAGATGATGATGATGATGAGGAAGGTGATGATGATGATGAAAAATGATGATGATAATGGTGGTTGGTAATAATAATAATAATAACAAAAGAACGAACGAATAATTTGACTTTGATATATGAGGATAATAATGGCAGTAATAGGATGAAAATATAATAACATCAATGCATGAGAACACTATTAAAGATAATATTATTGATAACAATGATAACTATGATCATAATGATGATGATAATAAGAGCAGTAGTAGTAGTAATGATGATGGTGATGATGATGATAGTGATGATGATGATGGTGAGGATGATAGTGATGATGACGATGGATGATGAT